TAAATTCCAAACCAATGAAATGATGCTTTGGGGGTCCTTTATTTGAATTGAAAGAGGTGTGTTTATGAACTGTTTTCTGGAGGGTTCGCACCCCTCATTGGATGCCTACAGAGCTCCATCCAGGCTCTTAGCCCCACTGAGCCTTGTCTGGGCTCCCCTCCTCCTTCTGCGTCTGATGAGATCTTTTGCTTTCCAAGGGCAGAATAAGGACCAAAGGCCCCATCTTGAACGCCAATGAATTGGTCTGGGGATCAGTTTCCAAAACTGTCCACCCACATGACCTTGAGAGTGCCTCTACTCTACCTACAGGGGTTTGCATTTTTCCTTTTGTCCAGCGAGAGTGTTGGGCAGGGTGTTCCCCACAGCACTCTGGCCATCTGGGATGGGTTATTCTGAGCCCTCATACAGCTGTTGGAACCCTTGCTTTGCCCTTGGCGACCCCTCTTCCCTCTGTCACCCCAAGCTACAGCATGAGCAGAGGGAAGACACCAGAGAGGAGCTTTGTGGAGCTGCCCAGAGCATTTGCCAACAGCTCTGCTAAGTCCACAGACCCTGGAGGAAGCAGTCCATGTGGGATTGTGTGAGCGAGCACTGGAATTGTCACATGAAATACCGCATTTTCAGCAGTTCTCTCTAGAGACTTTTCAACTAGTAAATAGTTCTTGTCAGTGCCAGCTGCAATTAGAACGGAGCTGCCCCAGTTTACCTTGGAGGGAGAGCAGGCCTGGAAGCTGTGGTATTGGCTCTGTGACAAGTCACTGCTTAGAAAGGCCCAGGTCTCCTGGCTCCCAGCCCCCTCCTCCCTGGAGAATGGAGGCTGTAGGTTCCCTGAGAACCAGGAGGAGCCCTGGGGCTTCCCAGGGGGAAAGGGCCCAGGGCCAGATCACCAAGCTGGGTTCCGCCCTTGACTCGTTCTGGCCTGGGGGTCAGCCTGAGGCACAAGCAGAGTAGAAGGGGGGAAGGGAAGATTCTGGTCTTAATGGGAAGAGCATCTCCCCTGTTTGGAGGACTTCCTGGTTCTATTTTCTGCGGCTACCGTAACTCCCCTTTTATTAAACTAAATTTTCCCGGACTATCGGTGCGCGCCCTCACTATTCCGCCATCTTGGCTCCGCCCCTTTTTTTTTTTTTGACAGGCAGAGTTAGACAGAGAGAGAGAGATAGAGAAAGGTCTTCCTTTTTCCGTTGGTTCACCCCCCAGATCGCGTTGCGCCGATCCAAAGCCAGGAGCCAGGTGCTTCTCCTGGTCTCCCATGCGGGTGCAGGGCCCAAGCACTTGGGCCATCCTCCACTGCACTCCCTGGCCACAGCAGAGAGCTAGACTGGAAGAGGAGCAACCAGGACAGAATCCGGCACCCTAACCGGGACTAGAACCCGGGGTGCCGGCGCCGCAGGGAGAGGATTAGCCTAGTGAGCCGCGGTGCCAGCCGAGCATCCACATTTAATTAGTGCCTTACCATTTACACAAGGAAGGGTAGGTCCCTCGCACTTCCTGGCCTTTGCACTTCTTTTTCTAAAATGATATGGTATTAGTTTAATTTTAATATATAAAGTACAAAGAGGAAAACAGAACAAAAGAAACATGGCCCGTCATCCCACACTGAAATACCAGAAAAACTGTAAATATTACAAGAATAAAAATAACTCAAATACCTGTTTAGAAAATTCAGGCAGTAAAATAACTAATACAGCTAAGGAGTATTTCATCCTCGCCCCTCTCCCTAGAGGAAAAAAAGTCTTAACAGTTTGTGTGCACAATCATTTACAGAGAAAAAAAAAAGATTGCATAAACCACGCTTCCTACAGTGGGCTTGTAGATATTCTCATTGTATGGATTCTATATATTGTTAGTTCTGGATTCTATGTATTGTTAGTTACCTAAGAGAGAGCACACTGAAGCATCACTTTTGGCCTTGCTTTTTTTTCCCCCTTTTTAATTTGTCTATCTTGGAAATGTTCCCCCATCAGCACACATAGCTTGGCCTCAACCTTTGTCATGGCTGCATGGTATTCCATGACGCGATGGGGTGCAGTTTATTTAGTTGGCTCTCTGTTGCAGGAAACTATCAGTACGATCGATCCTGCGCTGGCTAGCCTGGTTCGTGTAATGTGGGGAAATTTGAGTCTGTAAATAGGCAACCTTCCTAGCAGGGGAATAAGTCACAGACCCGCCCTCCAAGTAGGTGCTTCCAACTTAGACCCTTATGGCAGTAATGAGTGCCTCTTCCCTGGGCACTGTCTCATCAAATTCTTAAGTTTTCCCAAATTGATTGATATTTTAAAAGGTACTTCATATTTTGATTAGCACTTCCTTAGTCATTTTAACATATTCATTGGTCTTTGAAAATATTTCTTTCTGTGGCCATTGCTGTGGCTCAGCAGGTTAAAGCCGTGGCCTGCAGTGCTGGCATTCCATATGGGCACCGGTTTGAGTCTGTACTGCTCCACTTCTGATTCAGCTCCCTGATAACGCACCTGGGAAAGCAGTGGATTATGGGCCAAGTGCTTGGGTCCCTGCACCCATGTGGGAGACCCGGAAGAAGCTCCTGGCTCCTGGCTCCTGGCGTCAGCCAGGCCCAGCCCAATTCTTCTCTTTTTTTTTTAGATTTTATTTTATTTAATTGAAAGAGTTACAGAGAAATATAGAGACAGAGGGGTCTTCCATCCGCTGTTTCACTACCCAGATGGCTGCAATGGCTGGAGCTGTGCCGATCCAAAGTCAGGAGCCAGGAGCTTCTTCCTGGTCTCTACATGAGTGCAGGGGCCCAAGGATTTGGGCCATCTTTTACTACTTTCCCAGGCCATAGCAGAGAGCTGGATTGGAAGAGGAGCAGCCAGGACTAGAACCAGCACCCATATGGGATGCCGACTCTTAAGGCCAGGGCTTTAACCAGCTGCGCCACGGCGCCGGCCCCACCCAGCCCAATTCTTATCAGAGTGCTCCGATCTGAGTGCCAGCTCTGTTCTTCATTTCAGCTTTCTGATAACGTGCACCCTGGGAGGCAGCAGGAGGCTCAGGGAGTTGACTCCATGTAGAAAACCTGGATTGAGGCCGGCACTGCAGCTCACTAGGCTAATCCTCCGCCTGTGGCGCTGGTACTCCAGGTTCTAGTCCTGGCTGGGGTGCCGGTTCTATCCCGGTTGCTCCTCTTCCAGGCCAGCTCTCTGCTGTGGCCCAGGAGGCAGTGGAGGATGGCCCAAGTGCTTGGGCCCTGCACCCGCATGGGAGACCAGGAGGAAGTACCTGGCTCCTGGCTTCAGATCAGCGCAGCGCGCCAGCTGTAGCAGCCATTTAGGGGGTAAACCAATGGAGGAAAGACCTTTCTCTCTGTCTCTCTGTCTAACTCTGCCTGTTAAAAAAAAAAAAAAGAAAAAAGAAAGAAAGAAAAAGAAAAGAAAAACCTGGATTGAGTTTCTGGCTCCCAGCTTCAGCCTGGCCCAGCCTCACCTGTTACAAGCATTTGGAGAGTAAGCCAGCAGTTGGGACCTCTCTGTCTGGTTTCTTCTTTGCCTTTCAAGAAATGAAATCAAATTAATATTTCTTTCTTTGCGGGGATGGGATTGGGGGTATTGACCTATTTCTTTATATTTCTTCCTACTAGTTTATGTGTGTTTGTGTGTGTGTCTTTTTATGGAAATAAGTGAGTAAAGGGAAGAGCCTTGTATCCCATGACTAGGAATATGTCCCTGGGATCCAGTGTACGTTTTGGGTGTTGTCTGTGGCACATTGTTGTTTAAAGGAGTTTCATCAGTGGGCCTGGCTGCCCGGAAAGACCTGAACACCCTTCACACTGCCTTTCAGCTTGCCAGAAACCAGCTTCACATGTGTGTCCGGGGCTCGTGCTGCATTTTAAGCGAGCCGGAGGACAGACAGGTGCTTCTGCATCCCTGAAGCCACGTTGAGTTTTATTCCATCCCCACAGTGCACTTTCATTGCCTTCTGTGCAAACCACATTTCCCAGGGCAGCGCCTATGTCATTTAACTTTATTTCAGTCAATAAACATGATTTGTTAAATGCTAAAAAAATGCATACTCTAATTTAACAATCTTTTTCTTAACGAATGTTTGGATTTATATACTGCTTGGAAGTTACAAATAAACACACAGTTATGGTTTTAGAAATTGTAAGGCCGCCACAAAACACATCAAACACCGGAGTAAGGGAAAGGGTATATTGGAGAAAACTCAGCAGACCATTGGAAGGAGCGAAAAAGGAGAGAAAGAGACAGAGAGAGAGAGAGAGAGCGAGCCATGTGTTTCATGCGAATCCCATCAGGATGGGGGTGGAGCTTGACACCGGTGGTTGGGCTGTGTGGCCACCTGGCTTCCAGCAATGGCGGTGGGGGGCTAGAGCCTAGAATGGCGTCAGGGTGTAGATTGCCCCACAGATAAGACTGCGCCATTTTCCTAACAGAAATTCTATAGTTTTTCTTTCTGCTTCATGGATTTCATCATCAGGTGGATTTTTTATTCCCCTCCTCAATCAAGACATGTGGGTATTTTAGTCCCTGAGTTCTTGAAACTGGAAACTCTTTGTTGCCTTTATTCTTGAAAGATAGTTTGGCAATGAATGAATTCCGTGGGCGACAGTTGCTTAACTAAGAACAGTTGATCAGTCTATCAGTCTGTAGGTATCCATTCATTCATTCAGCTGTGTATCCATCCATCCATGCACCCACCCATTTATCTGTGCATCCACCCACTCACCCACCAATTTATCTATGTATCTATCTATCTACCCAGCTATAAAAATATGTAAATAAAATTAGATGAAGAATTATTTAATCATTAAACATGTCTCCAGCTACCCCGGCACAAAAATAGAACCCCAAAACACTTTCCATACCCTTTGTAAATTACATTCTCCTTCTTACCTACAGAAATGTCTCTTATCTTGATATTTTTATTTATCATTTTGATGAATTCTTCAGATGTGTATAACACTACATATGCACATATCCTTAAACAATGCAGAGTATTATATTGCATTTCTTTTTTTTTTTTTTATGGAACGCTTCACGAATTTGCGTGTCATCCTTGCACAGGGGCCATGCTAATCTTCTCTGTATCGTTCCAGTTTTTTAGTATATGTGCTGCCGAAGCGAGCACTATATTGCATTTCTTAAACTCTAAATATCACACCATCCTATTTTTCTTGTTTGCTCAACATTACCCACGTTGATACTCACAGCTCTGGTTCATTCCACTTCATCGCATTTCATTTATGTTGGTGTATAGGACTGTATTGCATAAGCCCTCCACCATTGATCATTTTTCTCTTAGTAGGAATATAGATTCTTCTTCCCACAGTTTGTCTGTATTGCAGAGTATTGTGTTTGGGGGCATCCGCCTGCAGTGCTGGCATCCCATACGGGCACTGGTTTGAGTCCCAGATGCTCCTCTTTTGATCCAGCTCCCTACTGATGACCTGAGAAAGTGGTAGAAGATGGCCCAAGTGCTTAGGCCCCTGTACTCACGTGGGAGACCTGGAAGAAGCTCCTGGCTCCTGGCTTCGAATCAGCTCAGCTCTAGCCATTGCAGTCATTTGGGGAGTGAGCCAGTAGATGGAAGAAGACCTTTTTCTCTGTCTCTCCCTCTCTCTGTAAATCTGCCTCTCAAGTAAATAAATAATTCTTTTATGTATATGAAAGAAGAGTATTGCATTTGAACATGCTTGTGCATATCTTCTTATGTATACCAGGGGGCAAGGATTTCAAAATTTTTTAGACCAACATAAACTTATGTTTTAATTCTATTTTTCCATGAACTTTCTGAAATGCCTTCATGTGTGTGAGGAGTTATCTAGGGAATACAGTCACAGACAGAATTGCCAGTTCCATGGTATAGCCATATTTAACTTTGTTAGCCATCGCCAGAGCTCCTAACCAAGTGGTTGTGTCAGGTGACAGTCCTACCAGAGGTTACCTGAGTTCTTGTCCCTGTTCCATCTCGGGCGTCCTAGGCGTTTACATTTTTGCCAGTCTCTTGGGTGTGAAATGATATCTAATTGAGGTCTGAATTTTAATTTCCCAGATTGCTTGTGAGATGGAACACTACTTGATGTATATTGGCCTCTCAGGTTTTCTCTTCCGTGAGTGTCCTGTGGATTATCTTTGCATAGTTTTATCCCCCTAAAGGGTTATTTTCTTTCTTATGAATCTGTGACTACTTACATGTTCTGAATATTAATACAAATACATTTTCTAGTCTTCATGTTCCATGCTTTTGATGGATCAGTATTTAAACTGTTTCCTCTCTAGTTGGTACCTTGTAAGTCTTGTTCAGGAATTCATTCCTACTCTAAGATCATTAGCATATTCTCCTGTATTCTTGATTTTTATGTTTTTTTTTTTTTTTTTTTGTCTTTAGGTCCTTAGTCTTCTTTAAGTTGATTTCTGTGAATGTGTTTTTGCGTTTGTTTGTGTGTGTGTGTGTGTGTGTGTTGTGTCTTTCCCAAGTGTTCTGTTCTATTTACTGAAAAGCCAGGACTGTTTTCCTAATGAAAGTTTTTCCATTTTACTTTGTTTTCATTATTTACAATGGGTTTCAAGGCACAAGAATTGAATTAATCCATCTGAAATACACTCTTCCAACCTCCTCAACAACCCTATCAAATGGGTACCATTATGGTTTCCCTTTTACACTTGAGGAAACAGACACCCAGGGAGCTTCAAATCTTGTCAGGTTCCAGCCAGCGCCGCGGCTCACTAGGCTAATCCTCTGCCTGTGGTGCCGGCACTCCGGGTTCCAGTCTCGGTTGGGGCGCCGGTTCTGTCCTGGTTGCTTCTCTTCCAGTCCAGCTCTCTGCTGTGGCCCGGGAAGAGAGTGGAGGATGGCTCAAGTATTTGGGCCCTGCACCCGCATGGGAGACCAGGGTCTGGAAACTCAGTCCAGGTCTCTCACATGGTGGCAAGAACCCAGCTGTGTGAGCCGTCACCTGCTGCCTGTGGGGTGTGCATTCACAGGAAGCTGGAAACCAGAGTTGAGCTGAGACTTGAATCCAAGCACTTCCATTTGGGATGCAGGCATACAAGCGGAATCTTAATCACTAAGCCAAACCTCCTACTCCCCACCCTGCTGGTGACTTCTTTTACTTTTTAAATGGTATTTCACCATGGTATATCTAGATATTGATTCCTTCTAATATATAGTCTGATATTTGATTCTTTCTTTGGAACTAGAATCTAAAGTCTTTTATCCACTCAAAAAAACCTATTAACTTTTAATTACCACTTCTGAATTATCTCTTCCATCTCTCCTCTCAGTTTTAGTTTAAAGAAATAGTAACACCGGGTGAACTACTGTGTCTCGTCTTTTCTCCCACGGTGTTCCTCTCTTTGTCCTGCCAGCTGGTACTCAGAACTTCTCTCATTGGCCTCTCCACCAGTTTTCTTCCTCTCCAGCCAGTTGCTCAGCTCTGCAGCCCCAGGCGAACTGTCCCCCCATGGCTACTGATCCGATTTTTCACAAAGTTCGGTGAAGTCTCATAGAGAGTGCTGTTTGGATAATACCTCATTCTTATTTCCTTCAGTTTCTTACAGCAAACCTCTTTTATTTTATTAATTTTTTTTAATTTGACAGGTAGATTTATAGACAGTGAGAGAGAGAGAGAAAGGTCTTCCTTCCATTGGTTCACCCCCCAAATGACCGCTAGAGCCGGCACTGCGCAGATATGAAGCCAGGAGCCAGGAGCCTCTTCCTGGTATCCCATGGGGTGCAGGGCCCAAGCACTTGAGCCATCCTCCACTGCACTCCCAGGCCACAGCAGAGAGCTGGCCTGGAAGAGGGGCAACCGGGACTAGAACCCGGCACCCATATGGGATGCCGGCGCTGCAGGTGGAGGATTAACCAAGTGAGCCACAGTGCCAGCCCTACCTCATTCTTTATTCCTTCAGTTTCTTACAGCAAACCTCTTGCAGAGCAGCTTACTCTCTGACAACCTTCTCAGAGCCAACAGCATCACACAGCCCCAGGAGCCCAGCCTGGGACCTCTCTTTGCTTTCCTCTGCCTCCTGCCTGGGGACAGTTGTCCCCTAGTGCTTCCTCTGTGATTTCTGGCTCCTGCTGAGATTTGAGAAGGCCAGCCATGGAGTCCTGACAGGAGGTTGTGGCAGCCTGGACAGTGACTGAGCAAGAATACGCCCTTGGTTCCATTGAAAAGGATTGGCAGTGGGGAGGGTGAGGTGGCGCTGCTAGAGCTGGAGGCGGAGGCACCGTCCAGATGCTGCTTTGCAGTGTTTGCTCCATCAGGTGGAGGCAAGCACACTCCGAAGCCCCAAACCATGCTTGCTCCTGCTGTGGACTGTGTGAGTGTCCACACTATGAGGTGGACTGGCACCTAGTGCATCAGTAGAACATCTTTACCAGGCTCTTGCATGCCTCTGCCCAGAGCTCTCTATGGGATACGAACTTGTTTGGTCAAAGGTTGTACTTCTCCGATCTACCCTAATGGCCAGCAGATGAGCAGAGACTCAGGGTAGTTCCTGCAGGACTAAGCAGGGAGCGGTCTTTGTGTGACAACTGACAGATTCTACAGTATCCGTTCATATCATTTACATTACACTCCATGCACCACCGGGGAAAGAAGAGGCATGGACTCCCGTCTTTCTGACTGTCCACCTGCACATGGCTGGACTTTTACCAGTTCTTCTTCCCTTCATGCTGCCCTTGTTTGTGATAAGCTCCTGATCACTCTGGACCTTGGCTCTGGATCCAGCTCTGACCTGGTGCTAGCCCTCACATAGGAGTTCATGAGACACGGTCCTTGGGCCAAAGGACATTGTCAGCATCACCTGGGAGTTTGTCAGCAATGGAAATGACCGTATCTTGTCTCCTGTGTTAGCTTTTCATCACTGTAACAAACTACCTGAGGCAACCTAACTTTATGTAAGGAAGAGGTTTATTTTGGGTCATAGTCCCAGAGGTTCACAGTCCAAGATGGTGGGTCCCGTTGGTTCGGCTTCTGGTGAGGGTGTCCTTGCTGACAGAGTCCCAGTGTGGTGTCCAGCACTGCACAGCAAGAGACAGACATCTGTGTACAGACATCTGTGTCTGTGTGGTCTCTTGTGGATGTGCCAGGATTCAGTCCTGGTGTCTCTATCCAATCCAGTCACCTCCCCAAAGCTCCAACTCCAAACAACGTAATTGGATGAAGTGTTGACCCTCTTCATACCACTGACTCATAACCGTGGGGATCAAGTCTTTAACACATGGACCTTTGGGAGATAGTCAACATCCAAGCTAATTACCCAAGCCATATAGCCTCTGACCTGCTAAGTAAGGCATTCTGGGGCTGGAGCCCAGTTCTGGTTCTCTGTGTACCATCCAGAGCAGGCTGCTACATACTCAAGTTCAAGGACCACAGTGCAGACAAAAGCTGGAACCGTTACCACGTTTTTCCCACGTCCACTTCGTGGGCAGCTTTCATGAGCGCATCCGAGAAAGGCGTTTGGAGAACATGAGGGCTCCTTGGAGAGTTCAACTTGTAGCTTTGGAGAAGCTCCTAGCTTTGGTTTTCATTCCATTTAACTCAACATTTGCAAACCGATTGGACCACAGACTCCTTAATCCTAGAAATGTGCGGGGCCCTGCCTCGTTACCCCTCAGCATCTTGTCTTTCCTCTCCCACTCACAACCGCAGTACTTGAAGCTCAACTATTTGATGAGCTTCAACTTGTAGGGTCTCGGGCATCACCAAGAGTTTTGCGGACCCAACATTTCTACTATGGCTTCCATCTCGGAGAAGAGTCACCATGGCCTTCATTCAGTCCACAGGGCTGAGAGTTGCGGAAAGAGTGTGGGCTTTGAAGGCAGCTTGACCAGGTGGGAATCCAGGAGCTGTCATTGAGCAGCCATGAACTTGGGAAAGTTACTGCCGCTTTGCACAGGGTGTTTGTGAGGAGCAAACGAAGCCACGTGTGCATGATGGAATGAACATGAGATTTAGATTTAGCTGACCAGGATGCTTGTTCCAGCTCAGTCGACTTCCATTTTCAGCCTTTTGGTCTCAATCTGTCCATCAACAAAATGGGAAAATAGTAATAATGAACAACTTGTCATTAGGTGTCACAATTTCAAGTAAATAGTTTATGTGAAAGATCTTTGTCACCTGCCAAGTGTTATGGTAGTTATAAATGTCTAAAACAAAAACCCGTATCTGTGTAGGTTCTGTGCCACCGCATGGCATGTGATAGAATATTCAGCAACTTTAGTTCCCTTCCACACGAGCACAGCCCCAGTGCACTGGAGCAAGGCTTAGTCCAGAGGGACCTTGTCCAGCTGACAGACAAGAATGATTTGTAAGTAGCACAGGGCGTTGTTTTATGTTCCGTCATCCTCAGTATTGATTTGTTTATTAAAAAATTTTATTTATAAGGAGCACAAAAATAAAGCAGCCCAAATTCTGCCGGATGTATCCCAGGTTCTGAATTAATGAGGCTTAAATTTATGCAGCTTCTAAATTGTTACGAGGTCTCCTGACTCTCCTGTTCTCGAGTCGGGTGTGTTGGGCTGGGGAAGAAATGGCTGAGTTTTAGGAGAAGGGTCCTGGCCCTCCCCTCCATAGGACCTTTCCTCTCCCCAGCTAGGGACTCAGGGTTCCGGCAGCTACTGGAGTCCAGGGTCCCGAGCTGTCTGTCACGTGGCTTGGGAGATGGGCAGAAGCCTCTTAGTTCAGCTCTAATAATTCTATTCTCTGAAACTGTTGGCTGTGGCCACAGTGGTGTGCAGCAAGAATGCTCCTCGTGGAAAGCTGGGTGCCCTGAGGAGTGTGTAACGTACTCCACAGTAGCAGGCATGCGGGAAGCAGTGTCCTAGGGTCAAGCCCTAGGACGACAGTTGTCAGAGTGTGGTCCCTGGACCCACGGCCCCAGCACTGCCAGGGGGCTTGACCGAAATGCCAACTCCTGAGCCCTATCTATCCTGGATCTGCAGAATCAGAAACTCCGGGAGTGGAACCCAGCTGTCTGCTTCAAGCTCTCCTGGTTGTTATGCACGCTTGGCTTTGAGAGCTGGGCTGAGAAGGAAAGAAACCAGACTTCCCTCTAGAAGAGTGCTGAAGCCTTGGATGTACATAGTGGATGGTGCCGTGCACCTGAGAGAGTCCCAGCAAGTGCTCCCTGAATCCACCTGAACAGAGGGGACTCGGCTTGTTTGTCCATTTGTGCTAGAGCAGGGCTTCTTGTTCCCAATGGGGCATTAAAATCACCCAGAGTGCTGTTTACAGATACCCCTGTCCAAGCCTGGACTCTGTTGAACTAATAAGCTAGAATCTGGAATTGCATCTGGGCACCTGTGTTTTTAAAACCTCCCAGATGGGGGCTGGCATTGTGGCATGGTGGGTTAAGCTCTCAACGCCAGCATCCTGTGTCAGAGTGTGGGTTTGAGTCTTGGCTGCTCGGCTTCTGGTGTAGCTCTCTGCTAGTGCACCTTGGAAGGCAACAGCAAACGGCCCAAGTGCTTGTGTGCCTGCTACATACATGGAATTCTGGGCTCCTGGCTTCAGCCTGGCCTGGAGCCGACTGTTGCAGCCATCTGGGAAGTGAACCAGAGGATGGAAGATCTCTCTGTCTCTCCCTCTCTGCTACTCTACCTTTCAAACAATTACATTTTTTTAAAGCTTCCAGATGATTCTAACACATCTCTAGGGCTGAGATCCACTGATCCAGAGGGAGCCCCACAAACAAAAACTGTGATTTGGGTGGTTGTTGCATTTTATCATGAACTTTGCCGTTACAGTATTTATATTAGAAAAATTATAGATTTGTTATGGAAAAAAATTCTTGGAAAATAGTTGAAAGGAGAGGAGAAATAACACTCATTTTCTAACTACCCAAAAGCAGTTGGCAATATCATGGTGTGGTTTCTATCAATCTTATTTGCTTATTTTTGGTATGTGTTGGTTTGAGTTTTTACAGTACTGTGATCAGTTTAATATACCATGTGCTGTCCAGTTTTTCACTTAGCAATGTACCTTAAGTTATTCGCATACTATAATTTTTCATGCATTCTTGCAGCAACATGGAAAAAATGGTTTTCCTCCTTTCTCGCATGTAGGTACTACAGGGTGACATTTGGAGTCCTTTCTTTCTTTACCTTGGCTGCACTTCAAGTGCACTGTGAATCCTACTTTGAATGTCACGAGTGGAACATTCACTCCCCTCTCTTTGAATTCCTTCTCCCAGTCCTCAGCTACCCTCTGTCTTTCCCTCATCTCCAATGCACAGGTGGATGTTTGTATCTGGCTGATGAGGGATAGGTCTCATGGTGGGGTATCCAGAGAAAACAGCACATTGGTGTCTTCCGAGGCTTTCTGATCACCATATCCGACTTGTCAGTTTCAGCTGCTGCGGGATTTCTGTGCAGTCACAAGACTGTGGTCTCAGACCGTGATGTGATTCATAAGCACACACACGTACACAGTAGCGCCCCTGAGACCCACTCCTGCGTGCTTTGGAAAGAAGGAAAACAAACAAGGCAAGGAGAGTGGGGCAAAGGAAAGAATGGTGCGACGAACACAAAGCGAGTGCCCGTCACAGGATGGTTTAACTTAACGATCTGTCAACTTCATGATGGTGCCGGAGCTGTATGCGTCCAGTGGAGACTGTGCTTGGAATTGTGAGCGTTGATCTTTTCTGGGGCGGGCGATGGATAGCGTGAGCCTCTCTGGGCACGCTGAGCCACAGCCGCGAGCACGGCTCCCAGCCCGCCCGTCAATCATGAGGGTAAACAGGTGGTGCTTTCCCGTGTTGTGGAGTGAGGAGCACTCAGTGCATTTTCGACCTCAGGAGAGTTTTTTCAACTGCTGATGGGTTTACTGGGACACCACTCATCAGGAGTCAAGGGGTGTCTATGGACTGATGGTCGGGTGGGCGTTATGCCGAGTCAGAAATGCCACAGTCAAGCCGTGTATCCCCTCGATGCCCCTGCTTTCAATGTTCCCAGGACTTTATTCTTTGTTGCACAATAACATATATATACATATATATGCACATACATATATATGTGCTTACATGTATATATGCACATATATATGCATATATATGTATGTATGTAATATTCAGAAATATATAGTATATATAGTAATATATACTGTATATAGTATATATCTTTTTTCTCGACCACGTCTACCTTCTGACCAAGCTGCCGGTTTGAACACCTGCACACCCCCGTGGCTGGGTGAGACGGAGCCGCAATCGTCTACGGTCTGGGTGTCGTGGATGCGCCAGGTAATTCTGCCCCATCTTCTTGCAGGGCATTATGGGAAGGATGCTTACCGAAGTGGAGGACCAGATCTCCATAACTTCATCTCATCGGGATTTGTCACATTAGGAAGAGGACACACGAAGGGTACAGTGGAAACCATTTTTTACTAAAATACAGAGGTTGCCTAGGGACCCCTGATGGGAAATGTGAAGGTTTGGCGGCCGGAGGCTTACTCGGGACAGGAGTAAGCAGGGGTGGTTCCGTGGCGGCTTGTCCTGGTGGCTTCTGACAGGAGTGACCAGGAGGTCACAGGTGTGACTGTAGAGGTGGTGATAGACTGCCAAGAGACATCCATTTGCTGTGCCCGTGGTGGGGAGCAGGACACGGAAGCCAGTGGCTCCCCATGCCCGGGGACCACAGGCAGCGTGTGGGAAACCCCACCGATGGATGTGGCCGCACTGGCAAAGCATGTGTTCGCCTCTTGGCTATGATCCCCCTTCCTTTCAAAAGCCACACTTTGTAACCGGATGTGCACGCTCTGTGCTGTGGGGTCCCCAGCCGGCCCGTGTGCATGTGACAGTGGCAGCCTTCTAAGGGTCTCTGTGCACACCCAGGGGGAGGTGATGCAGACCTTCGAACTGCAAGATGAGAGCTGACCTAGCGGGATTTGCCAAGCTGCTTTACAACCTAGCTGACAGCTTGCCAAGCATCTGTGCGGTGGGGGTGTGGCGTCTTCCTCGATGCTGTCTTTTGTTTAAACAGAGTTCTACTAGTGTTGTGAGCATTCTGTCACATCAAGATAACTGGATCCCTAACTCCTTTGTCACCATCCTAACACCTGTGTGCTGTTACAGACCAAATGTGAATCCTATTGTTGGGGTAGAATTTCCTTGTCTTTTCTGAAATATGTGTCTGTTTCAAGTGTGAGTGAACAAGGAAACTTGCAATATTTTCTGACATTCCATGCACCTACTTTTTAAATTCCCTATGTGATGTCTGTTCATCCTGTAGAGAAAAAAAATAATCTGTATCTGTGTATGTATTTTCTGTTGTGTCTCCTTGTGTCTAAATAAAGTTCATTGAGGATACAGGTGGCATTTGTGGCTACTAAGAGTTGCAGAATGGAACTGGGACCAGCCGGTTCCAGAGGGGGAAGAGGGCTACACAGTCAACCGTGGAAAGACACGATCCTTGTCATACTGGATCAAATCAGAGCTGAGATGACTGATCCCCAGCCCCTTCATGCGAGCTACCTCTCACTGTGAAAGAAATTACTCTAAAACGTAGCAGCATAAAACAGTAATAAACACGGAACCTCTCACATGGATCCTGCAGGTTGGGGATTTGGGTCCTTCTGACTCGGAGTATCTCATGAAATTGTAATCTGATGTCAGGCAGGGTTGCATCATGGCAGAGCTTGGCTGGGGCTGAGGTTCTGCCTCTGAGATGGTTCACTCACGTGCTGCTGGCTGTTGGCAGGAGGCCTGTCTTCCTCCACATGATGTTCTCACTGTGGACTAGCTGGGTGTCTTCATGGTGTGACGGCTGGGTGTCTGCAGAGTGGAGAACAAAGACACAAGCCAGCACATTGTATATAACCAAGTCTCTTGGTTGCACATTTTCCCAACATCCCATAGGTCACGGTGGTCAGTTCTATTCAAGATGGGAGGAAACAACACAAGGACATGAATATCAGGAGTGAAAGATCATGGGAGGTCCTTTGAGAGGTAGCTACCCACACAGCTACAACCCATGGAGTGGAGCTGCAAGTCTGGCTGTTTCAAACACAGCTCGACAGCTCTTACCAAAGCCTCCCAACTGCAGTGGACTCCCATCCTGACCTCTGCCCCTTGTAGGTGGTCCAACCTGAAACAGCACACACTTCAAACAGTAAAACTCTTCATATATATATATATATATATTCCATATTATGGCTTTGGGTTCATGCATTCCTTCAACAACTATTTAAGAGGCTTGCAGTATGCAAGAACAGAATTGTTCCAGGTGGAGTCCCATTCCATTGGAAGAAGCAGACAAATTCTTGGCAATAAGTGCAGGTCCGAGTGCAAGGTGCACTGTGGCAGGAAACTACTCGTGCTAGGAAAGGCCTCTCGGGTCAAGTTGAGAATGGAGCAGAGGCCTGTGTTCCAGCTAGAGACAACAGGAAAAAAAATGGGAATAAAGCATTCTTGTTGTGTCAAGAACTGGGAAGGAGGCCAGCATGTAGGTGGAAGGACAGAAGAGAACAAGAGTGGAAGGAGACAAGATCAGAGCTGTCAGAGAGCCAGGTCATGCATCTGCCAGGTGGTGCACATATGGCTGCTTTCAAATGAACTTGACCTCCATCATAGCCGCAGAAAGGTGATCCTCTGTCCCCATCTGTCCTTTCAGCCAGTGTCATCTGGGGCACCCAGAGGACCCTACCCTGTCCATGCCTGGGTGGAGGGGGGGACATGGCTATGTCTGCTGTTCTTGTCTCCCTGTCTTGCTCTGTGGTATCACCCACAGCTGCTGTGCCTGCAACACTCCTTACCAGGCCCTCCTCACCATACTTTGGTTTCCAGGGCCTTTGATACCTCCTCTTTCCACTTGCATTTGTTTTCCTCTTTAGATAGAACTGAAATTTCATGAGCAAAGACACTGAGGTTGAGGGTGAACAGGACTTGGGCTATGGAAGTTCTCTTCTCATCCTGGGAACTCTGTAGTCCCTGACAACTTGAATCTCTGTAAGGACCAAGCTCCACACTCTCTTCCTTCATGGTAAACTCACTTCAACTTGAAGTGGTCCCTACAAGAAAACTGGCCCCATGTACACACCCCCAAAGAAGGGAACCTCACAGAGATCGCTAACGTGGGGACATTCTTCAGTGGGTATGACTGATTCTCTTCTTTCTCTTCCACCATTCTTTGCTTTCATTGCAGGTGCTCCTTTTTGAATCTCTTCCTTTATTCTTTTATCTTTTTTACTATATTTGCCTTCAGTGTTTTCGCAGCACTTGGCTATTGTGGACCCAGGATTGGATGAGTAGCAAACTGTGACCCTCAGGATTGAATGGGTAGCAAACACCTGCTTTTGAAGGTAGCCCCATTGCCCTACTGTCTCCCATCACGGAATCGAATGCTTGCCTCTGATCAGACTGATTATCTAAGAAACAAGCATTTGTTGATGGTCCCTGCTCCACATGGCACTGGGACTCAGCATTGGAAGTTTGGCTGACACCTGTCCTGTCTGGCATTTTTATGGCCCCCAGAAGTAGTGTGGAAGTGGAAGTAGAAATAGAAGAAGTACAGGCAGCTGGGGGCCGGCACCATGGTGCAGTTGGTTAATCCTCCGCCTGCAGCGCCGGCATCCTATATGAGTGCTGGTTCTATTCCTGGCTGCTCCTCTTCCAACCCAGCTCTCTGCTAATGCTCCTGGGAAAGCAGTAGAAGATGGCCCAAGTGCTTGGGCCCCTGCACCCGTGTGGGAGACCTGGAACAAGCTCCTGGCTCCTGGCTTTGGATTGGTGCAGCTCTGGCCGTTGCGGCCAGTAGAGGAGTGAACCAATGGAAGGAAGACCTTTCTCTCTGTCTCTTCCTCTCACTGTCTGTAACTCTAGCTCTGAAATAAATAAATAAGATCTTGAAAAAAAAAAAAAAAGAAGTACATGCAGCTTAAGCAAAGGCTCCTGCAACTTCAAGGGACTGAGGGCGAGCTGACAAGATGCACAAGTGCATATTTAACTTTTTTTTTTTTTGGTGGGATGGAATCTTCAACTATCTTCAACTAATCATTAAGATGATTCACCTCTCCCATTGGAGTACCTGGATTGGATTTTTTTTTTTAATTTTTTTTTTTTTGACAGAGTGGACAGTGAGAGAGACAGAGAGACAGAGAGAAAGGTCTTCCTTTGCCGTTGGTTCACCCTCCAATGGCTGCCGTGGCCGGCGCGCTGCGGCCAGCGCACTGCACTGATCCGATGGGAGGAGCCAGGTGCTTCTCCTGGTCTCCCATGGGGTGCAGGGCCCAAGCACTTGGGCCATCCTCCACTGCACTCCCGGGCTACAGCAGAGAGCTGGCCTGGAAGAGGGGCAACCAGGACAGAATCCAGCGCCCCGACCGGGACTAGAACCCGGTGTGCCGGCACCGCTAGGCGGAGGATTAGCCTGTTGAGCCGCGGCGCCGGCCAAGTATTTACATTTTCTCAGATGACATCTACAATAGATACTTTTTGTTAGAGGGGTTGAGCAGTGAGATTTTAGACCATGGGGTCTTAGTACCTACCAAACCCCTCTACTGCATCTCTCTCCTGCTGGAGGACCCCACATGCTAGCCTAGGAGATCACACCCTCGTTGGTCAGCTTCCCAGGCCGCATAGCCTTGTGCTGTATGGCACCAGAATTGGTACTGCCTCCTCTGGACTTTCTAACTGAATGGCATGCTCCTGTCTTTTACATTTCCTCTCACTTTCTCCTTCTGAGGACCTGCTTCTGTGTGTCTCCCTTTCTGGGATTTCTTCCTTTGATCTCACGTTTGTTCATCCCGTAGGGCAAATGGAAGCCAAGGCTGAAGAAGATGCTGATCTGAGTGAACGTGAGTTTAGATCAAGTTCCCCTTGAAACCTTTGCTCTGTTACACAAGATGACTCAGCTGCCTGCACAGGAGCCCAGAGCAGTGCTTAGGAAAGCCGAGGGTCCCACTTAGGCCACCACAATGCAGTCTCAATCTGTAGGCTGCTATTTGCCAAGCATTTACGATCTGCTGGCGCTTTATATATATTGTCATATTTTTAGCTGTATAACAACCCATGGGAGAGATCTTGTTCTGACTGTTTTACAGGAGAAAAACAAAACCTCAGTGCAGTTGAGTCACTAGCCCAAGTCAACATCAGATGTTGAGATGTTCCAAATCCAGGTCTGATTCTGGAAACCATGGCCTGGATCACTGTGCTGTCCTGCTTCCTGTAGATGGGCAGGGGGAGAAGTCTGCCAGGGTAGTACGGGGACTGGGGTCCACGAGGAACTACACAGAGCACACATGAAGTCAACTGTGGCTCTTCTTATCAGGGGCACCGTTTGGCAAGACTGAAAATCTCTCTCTCTCTCTCTCTCTCTCTCTCACACACACACACACACACACACACCATGAACCAAGCCTTAGACAG